TATTGCCATCAACAATTCCGTGCGGAGATCTATAGATATATATTGTACACCTCAACCGCTTTTCACGATCTACAAAGCACATACACAGGCAGTTTCAGATGACGGTTCTCACATTATGGGGTTCAGCACCCAAGTATACGCTGATCCTCTTAGATTCTATCCAGAGAAGAGCCATCCGCCCGGTGGGTAATGCCACACTCACTTATACGTTGACTCCTCTAAAACACCGTAGGGAAATGGGCGACCTTTCGTTTTTTCATATATACTTCCACGGCAAATGTTCCTCAGAAATCGCTGCTATCATTCCATCACTAGAAATACCACTCAGACAAACTCGACAGGCCCAGTCAGCACATCCTCACGTTGTGAACCTTGAAATAAGTCGAACAACACTCACACAAAACTCATTCGTCTATAGAACGGCAAAGCTTTGGAATTCTATGACAGTGCAAGTATTCCCAAGAACTCATAACCTACGAATGTACAAAAAAATTCAAACACCTCCCTCCTCCCCCTATCCTTTTTAGGAACGCATGATGCTCTTGGAACTTCCATTTTTCACTATAAATGAAATGAAATGAATCATGCAATGTTGCCAAACATAAGGACGCAATAAGATACTCCAGATAGAAATACTGGAATTTCGTATATTTTTCGTATATTCCGCTCTGGCGGAAGTCTTCTGAACTACAATGTATATTTTCTGTTCATTTACGCATAATATTGCGTCCGATGTGCTACAAGACTTTTCCGCATATCTCGAGTATTTGGACAGATAGACCAGTCAATCTCAGATCTATCGATAGGTGGAGGCATGGGCTTTCAGAACACATTTTTTTACATTATTTCAAGCAGTTCTATCCAAAGTTTAACGTTGATGACATTATCGCGTCCATATATGGACGCAATAAATAGAAGGACGCAGTAATACATGTAAAAGGGCAATGATTGGACGCAATAATGATAGCAGGATGTATATATATATATATATATATCATATATATATATATATATATATATCTATTTCTATAAATTTGAAAGTTGGTGAAATAATCTGGATTTGTATTATCCGATAGCTTGTAAAGTTAGGGACTTCTGTTCTTGTCTTTAATTATTAAGTAACACTATAGTCTCGGTAACTCATCTTACCGTCAGTACCGAACTCTGCCTTTTGTCTTCAAAGTCCATATCTGAACTGTAAAATGTCAGATATAACATGTGTAGTTTGAGACAATAAGATCCTATTATTATTATTATTATTATCATTATTATTATTATTATTATAGTGACTAGTGATATATCATCTAGTATTTGTGTACAACAGTTACGAAAACTAATAAGTGGTGTGTTGTGAATCATATTGAGATTATCATAACCAAAGTGTGAAGTTTAGGAAAGTGAGGTGACATATGTAGTGAAATTGTGTAAGTGTAGGAAAGTGATGTGACATTAAATTTGAAACTGTGGAACTTTACCTATTTCTAATTTCACCAACACAAAACCTTTCAGAGTATACCATTTATTCACTGAGAATTTTCATTAGGTTCAATGTTATTCATATTTTATTTTGTTGATTATTTTCTTTGTATGATTTTGAACCAATCAGAACAATGTTCAATTTAGTAAGTTACCTTGTATAATCTCAAATATACGTGTATATACATAAAGTAACTCTACCAATCAGAAATTCAGAATAATTGGCATTTTCAAAGTACTTATTTTATTCATATTGTTACATACATATCTTGAAGTTCTTTATACTACTGATAATTTTTATCCAGTTCAATGTTTTATTTTTATGTGATATTGGCGAAAACCCACTAAAAACAAGTAACCAGCCATGGGTGCCTCATGGGTGGTCTGGAAATTTACCAATATTCGATACTCTCATGTTCCAAAATGGATATATAGGTAATTTTTTAACAATAAAAAACTCATTTAAAAACAGCTTTAGTTTGTGGTAACTAAAAAAATATTTTACCCGCCGCTGTGAGTTGCGGCTTGTCAAAGGATTTGTCGACATGCAGCCGGTTAAAATTTTTTTTTGCTTTTTCAACTGACTTCATATGAACTTTATTCTCTATGCATCAGCAAGGACTGATATGACGATAATTGGATGTCTTTGAAAATCTGAGATCCACAGGGATATGGTATAGCTAGATGCTTGCATTGAAATCAATGTGAACAACTGAAAGGGAGACTGCCGTTTTCTTGAATAGCACAGAGTATGTCAGGGACAGCTGCAACAAAGATAGATTGTGTTATGGTAACCTGTCTCTTTCACACTCATGTTGTTTAATGGCGGATTGGTGTATAAATTTCCTTTTTTCCAATGAATAGAGGACATATGTTTTTATCTGAACAGGTAAAAAAGTTAAGACATAACTTCATTGTTTTTCAATTATTTGAAATATCACTTCATTTGGCGTGTTTTGTTTTATCAAAAGGACCGAATTTGTTGGTTTGAATTCATTGTTATTGAGAAGGTTTGTGATTTCAATTTAATAAACAATGGTTATTAATTGTGTTGCCTTTGGATGCAAGAACAAGCGGAAATTGTCTTTCATGGGTAGTTTGAAAAGTGATTGAAAATTGTTCAAATTTTTATAAAAACTAGTAATTTATTCTCAGGATGTGTCTGTGAATTTTCATAACTTGGATTCTGAGAATGATGTTTTCCACAACTTTCAGCTCCTAAGTTTCAAAGTTTATTGATAATAAAAACTAAACTGTTTCAGTTGAGATAAACCTAAGGGTACTTATTCTTTATTCTAATGCAAAAACTGAAAACACCTCGGAAAACACTGAAACAAAAGGTAAAAAGCAGATTGACAATCTTGATGAGGTGCACCTAAAATAACATTTTGAAGTACATCATATTTTCTTTTCAGGTTTACATCTCCTTCTCCAGAAAGAAAAAGATGAAGGTGTACATTCTGGGCAAATATTTATCTTTAATTAAACAATTCGTCCATACATTGTACATTTATTCACCTTCTAATAATGAAATGTTATGGAAAAATAGGAAGGTAGGTACCTATAAAAGTTAGGTTCAAAATGGACCTTACCTACTCAATACCAGTCAAGAACCTCTTTTCAAATTGTTTCTATTGTTTTTCTGTTTCTTATGATAGAGCTGAGACAATGAGTTTTGCTCACCGTGTACAATATATTGTGATATTTGAATGAGAATATATAATTTTGATTTTGTATTCATTTGACTTCATAACCCTGTGAGAAGAAAAATGAAATTTCATTTTTGAGTCAATTAAAAAATCAATAATAATGTTTTATTATGATATTGTTTGTTTTATTGTCCATTTTCCTAAATGAATATTTATATTTATTAGCATATATTTATAAATGATGCAAAAATGAAAAGAGATAGGTATTTGTAACCAGTGCTGCCTGAACAATAGTAATAGTTTTGTCTCACTGGTTGTTCACAGAGGATCCCTTCCAGGATGAGTTCATTGGATGCTTGTGGAGTGTTCAAGCAGTTCAAGTGAATGCCATCAGATGGGGCTATGTGATATTTTCTATATTATATTTCCTACAGGAAATTACCTTGGGAAATACAAAAATTAATCATCATTTGAATCACTTGGTGAATCTATTTCATGTTTTCCTCATTTTTCAAAATCAGAAAAAAAGGTGCTGAATGGCCATGTTGAGGGTTTCATTTAGAAAATCAAGAAGCTTGTATTATTAAGGGGTTTTGCCCTATTGAAGAATTCAACCTGTGAGGATTTTCACAAATGTCTCTTTAATGTGATTATATTTTGTTGTTGTCAAAAATTCAATCATTATAAATTGTAATCAGTTATGGAAAGCAATAGTATAAACCCAAATGAGAAATTTCCTAAGAGAATATTGAAATACAGTTAATTTGTAATACCTCTGGTAATACAAAGTGTCAGTTCACAAACAAGGTTTTGTATTACATACCAACAGATTCAACCGAGGATTCAACTCACTATTATTGATTGTAAGTGTAAGACTATGAGTAGGTACTATCAAGGATATGCCTACTCATGTGCAGATATATGTTTCATAGGTATTTATTTTGTATATTCTGCTAGTATTTTCAGCTATTACCCCTTAGCACTCCTGTGGTGCAGTGTGAAATCAGAAAACTAACCACAGAAAATGTTTATAATGGAAAAAAAGGTAAAACTAAATTGCTGAATTAATGGATCAAGAGGATACCTACCTGAATACCTCAGTCAATACATAGGTACTCAACTTGCCTTGATACTCTGCTAGATACATACTGTTTGAAACAGAATATAACAGTGCACCACCCTATTAATAAGACATGACTCAGGTGGTTATGTTACATCATGAATAAGAAGACAGTTGGAGAAAATAAATTATTAACCATTCATCTTTTGTAGAGCACACATTGTAAATTGGCAAACTTTGCATAGTGTTTCAGTAACCATAGTCTAATAATACCTATTCAAGTACTCAACAAAGTAAGTACCAAAATATGAAAACAAAAGATTTCAATAGGAGAAACTGGTAAAGGGCTTGAATTTGAATAAAACAGCTTGATTGGGTATTCTCTGCATAGTAAACTGATTGCACTTCATACACATTGATAGTAGTACACAAATAAGTAAGCATCATATTATTATGTACCTGTCTCAAATGTAAAAGGATGAGGATGATGAACCAAATTTTTCCTACATTATTATTGTAATGACCTATGTTCATAAGACGCCCTCCTAAAAAACTAGTTTAAGAAAGTTAAAAAAATCTTGTTTTCCTTTGACTCAATCATGGACTGTGTGATATAGTTTTACTTTTCAGATTGAAATCAGAGAGTATACCCAATTTATCATTTCATAGAAGGTTTCACTCGAGGTTTCACTTGATAGTTTCATATTTTCATTCACCTCAACTATATACTGTTGTAGTATAGCTATTATCTCAGGTTGTTGCTGTAGCTTAACACCATATTACCTGCTTCCTGCTTCTAAAATCAAACTGCCTACCTGTTATTTGGACCAAAAACATCACACTGTTATGTTGATGGTTGTCTTGTTCATGTCTTTTCATAGGTGATTAATAGAATAGATTAGAAAAGCACTTCGCGAGAATTGTTCACTCAACTATACTCTTCACTTCAGTAAACACTAAACTAAACAATACTTTTTTAGTTTTTTGAGGCAATATTTGTCACTTTTAGTCACAGACATGTCAGTCAATTTGGGAGTTATCTGAGATTGTCATATTGTCAACTTCATTTCAGAATTTTTGCACTCCCCTTCCTTCGTAAATATTCCACTCGATGTTCGAGTTCATTAGTTCCAAGTTCCATAAATTATCAACACATTGCCCACCCAATACTCGATACAAGCACAAACGAACAAGCCCTTTAGTTTATCAGTTTAATGTTCGATAGTTCATTGGATATGACTGACGTCTAGAGACAGGGCGCATCTAATATTGCCGCGACTGTACTTACAGTCGTATTCAATAAAAAAGCGTACAAGTATTAAAAAGAGAGGATTTCGGGATCCTAGTTCTAGTTGTGTAAAACTGGCTCAGCCAATGCTTTGTGTTTTCGATAACCTATAACAACTATTGTCAACATTTGGTGAACAATCATTCCCGATGGCCCGTTTTATGCAGAATAGGATGACGTTAATTCCTCTCTGTAATATTCTTGTACGCTTTTTTTCAATGCGACTGTAACACAGAATAAAGAAGGGAAAATAAATATCGTTTCTGCCTGAAAAAGGAGACTTCTTCACCTTTTCGCGGTCTGAGTGAACCTTTCTCCAAAAATAGTTATTTGTTTAACTAGGCAGCAAAGTAGTAGATCGACTGCCGAGGCTGAATTCATAGCCGAGCGTAGCGAGGCTAGGAATCTAGCTAAGTCAATCTAATTTGCTGCCGAGTTGAACATATAATTTTTTCTCCGATTTCCATAATGATATATATCTCTTTATTTTTCCTGTAGTGTTCAATTAAAATGAAATTTGATTGAAATCGCAGTTGTTTGAATGGTTGGTTGCTATGGAAATGTCCATAATAATTATAGTTTGATAATTCATGAAATTTCTGACAGTTGTGCGAAAAAATATCGGTATATTCAAATTATTATATAATGGACAGTGTTAGCGACCTGGAAGTACTTAAACCTCCAGAAATAAGGGAGGTGACAAAAATATAGAGTTGAATTTGTTGCCGAAGAAGTCTCGGATGAAATATGAAGGAAATTATAAACGAAGTATAAATTATTAATTTTGCTGATACATATCAATCAGCAAAGTAACCAATTTGCTCCCTAGGGAGCAAAGTACCCACTTTGCTGCCTAGGCAGGAGAAGTAATACTTTGCTGATTGATATGTGTCAGCAAAATTAATATTTGCTGCCAATCGGAGAAAAAGTATATTTCCTGAAAAATTACCTGTTATTTTTTAAAGAAACTACTTTTTCTGAACCATCTAACCTACCTCGGCCAGAATCAATCTTCATCCTAAAAATAAATATATTTTTTGGATAATTACTAGAGAAGAAAGGAGAATACTTTTTCCAAACAATCTAACCTGACACGACATGAATGAACCTTCTTCACTTACTGACAGCAAATTGAAATTTGAAGTTGATCTCCCTGAGGACGGACTCGGAACCTCAGGCATAGCAGACGGATGCTCAGGTTGCTAAGCCGATTGACATCGATTTATTCACATATCAAGAACATTCACAAACAAACACTGGCGATAAAAAAAGTACATAAATAAAATCCTAATTGAGGAGCAGCTGAACAAAACGGTTTAAATCCATAATATATGATTTCGAGTAAAAGATGAAAAACTGGTTGAATCAGATATAATCTAAAACAGATTTTCATTCGGTTACAAATCGAAATGAATAACATTCTCGGAAAGGTTGTGTTGTGTCCTGAGATGATAGACTAATTATTATGTAGTGCTCTTTTTATATAGATTGATTCAGTTGGTTAGCAACAGCTAGAAATAATTTCTATAGTTACAAGTTCTTTGTTTTGGTAACTGGGAAATATAATAAACAGTCCGATTTGAAAAATCTGAAACGAAGTTGTATTTGAATTTGTCGCTCATTCTCAATACAACATTTTGCCGACGAGGATGGGATAGTAAACCCCGCATCAACGGAAACCCAGATAGGACAGAAGACAGAACAATCTTCTCGGAAATATAAAAATTCCATATCAGAACAGCCTCCAGTGACCCAAACACCGTACCAGGTAACGGATATGGCATCGCTGGGTAGTATCGAACCTTTCAACATCGACAATCCATCAGGATGGGAAAGTTATGAGGAGAGAGTGGATTTTTTCATGGCTGCAAATGGCATCACAGACGGTGATAAGAAGAAAGCTGTGTTCCTCAGCCTCTGTGGTTCAGCTACTCATGAGGTACTACGTTCCCTCATTGCCCCAACGCCAACAAAAGACAAGACGTATGACCAGATCATAACCACTCTCAGGGATCATTACGCACCGCGAACTTCAGAAATATTATGCCGATTCAGATTCCACCGCCGTGATCAGTTAGCGGGAGAAACGATTGCCGATTTTCTGAAAGAACTGCGACATTTAACGGAGCATTGCGGTTTTGGCGGAAATTTGGAAGACATGATTCGCGATCGCCTTGTATGTGGAGTACGCGACGAAGCACTTCAGCGCCATCTATTGGCAGAAAAGAATTTGACATTCAGCATGGCACAGGAAACCGCGCTAGCTTTTGAGGCCGCTGCAAGAAGTATGATCCTGTTGAAGGGATCCTCATCGTTATCAACCGAAGCGGATGTGGGGGTGCACCAATTGCGAAACAATGTTGGTTTCCAGCTCTTGGACTGATGATTGCAGGAGTAAACAAACTCTTCAGCGTTCCGGACTATGTTGCAGAATATCCTCAGGCTTTTGACGGAAATCTGGGTTCATTCAAAGGTCCACCTGTTAGTTTCAACTTGAGTCCAAACACCATACCTATGGCTCTTAAAGCAAGAAAAGTACCATTTGCCCTTAAAGGATAAAGTAGACCAGGAAATCGACAGATTAGTGGAACAACGAGTGCTTGAACCAGTGGCACACCCCAGATGGGCAACTCCTATTGTGGTGGTAATCAAGAGCAGTAATGAAGTGCGAATATGCGGTGATTATCGCAGTACACTCAATCAAGTTTTGCATGCTGACACTTATCCCGTTCCATCAGTACATAGTATCCTTGCTACCCTGGCTGGTGGTAAAGTCTTCGCCAAGTTGGATATGCAGCAGGCCTATCTTCAGCTGAGTGTGGACCAACAGGCTGCAGATGCCCAGACCATCATCACACATCGAGGTGCTTTCAAATGTAACCGGCTGCAATTTGGTGTTTCTATTGCACCGCAAATATTTCAACGTTTTATTGACATGCGATTAGCAGGGATATCTGGGGCTATTCCAAATTATGATGATGTGCTGGTAGTCGGCAGCTCGGATGAAGATTTGGAGAACAAGCTGAGAGAAATTTTCAGACGTTTAGTGGAGGATGGTCTCCATCTGAGGAAAGACAAATGCATTTTCCACTCAAGAGAAGTAGCTTTCCTTGGATTTAAAATAAGTGCATTAGGAATCCAACCATCCCAAGACAAGGTGGATGCCATCAATAATGCACCTGAACCAACCAACAAGGCTGAATTACAGGCTTTTCTCGGTTTGGTAAATTTCTATGATGTTTTCCTCAAGCACAAAGCCACAATCGCCGAACCACTACATAGATTGCTACATAAAGAGGTGAAGTGGTCATGGGGACCTGAGCAACAGTCTGCTGTTAATGAAATCAAAGCCATTTTGACCAGCCAACCACTTCTAGTACACTATGATGAGAAAAAAACACTGTGGCTAACATGCGATGCCAGTCCATTTGGAGTAGGTTGTGTACTAAGCCAGTTGAATGAACAAGGGCAGGAGGCGGCAGTCGCTTATCATAGTCGTACACTCTCAGGCCCAGAAAGAAATTTCGCCCAAATTGGTAGAGAGGCACTTGCTATGTTGGTTGGAGTTAAGAAGTTCCATGACTATATTTATGGTCGTCATGTAACCATACGAACAGATCACAAACCTTTGTTAGGTATTTTCAACCCAAAAAAGGCAACCCCAGAAGTAATGTCTCCTCGCATGCTACGTTGGTCCATCACGATGACTGCTTACCATTACGATCTACAGTATATGTTCCTGGTACAAAAATTGGAAATGCAGATGCCCTCAGCAGACTACCACTCAAAACTGTTGTCACAGACCCTCCACCTTCTGAAGAAATTTTGATGCTAGAAAATGTTCCAGAGAAAATTCTATCAGCTCAGGAGATAGCTATAGCTACCAAGAAAGATCCCATACTCTCTAGAGTGTTGCAATGGGTCTGGAGAGGTTGGCCTATAGATATTAAAGGAAATCAATCAGATTTCAGACCGTATCTACAGCGTAAAAATGAGATAACTTCTTATCAGGACTGTTTGTTGTGGGGAACACGCATTATAATTCCACCTGGGGGAAAGGAGAGAGTTCTGGAGAGTTTACACACTTGCCACCCTGGAATCGTGAAGATGAAATCGCTGGCTAGATCTTATGTTTGGTGGCCAGATTTGGACAGGGATATCGAAATGGTAGTGAATACTTGCTCAGAGTGCCAACAGAATAGAAGCATGCCAAGAAGGGCACCCACTCACCCATGGGAATGGTCAAGGGCTCCCTGGTCACGTTTGCATATCGATTTTGCTGGACCAGTCAATGGTCAGTTATTTTTGATTGTCATTGATTCATTTTCCAAGTGGTTAGAGGTGCGGTTAGTCAAAAACATCTCCACAACTACAACCATCCGGGTGCTCCGGGAGTTATTTGCTACCCATGGACTGCCTGACGTCCTAGTCTCAGATAACGGAACAGCTTTCACTTCAAGAGACTTTCAAGAATTTCTTGGCAACAACGGGATCCGGCAAGCACTAGTAGCACCGTATCATCCCAGTAGTAATGGCCAGGCGGAACGTATGGTCCAGAACGTTAAGGGGGCCTTGAAGAAAATGAGCGGTAACGATACTGAAGTCAAACTCGCACGATTTTTATCGACACAGCACATAACGCCACATACAATGACAGGGAAATCACCAGCTGAAATCCTCATGGGGCGAAGGTTGACATCGATGTTGGATAGGCTTCATCTAGATTTCGCGAAAGAAATGACCAGGAAGCAAGAGCTACAAAATCCCAAGAATTCAATTCCAAAGTTGTATAATGAAAATGATCCGGTTTTTGCTAGGTCTTATGCACCCGGCAAGAAATGGATACCATCCACGGTGGTGGAAGTCTCAGGGCCACTGAGCTATAAGGTTGGAACCTTTGAAGGTCATACGATGAGAAGACATGTAGACCAGATGCGTCCCCGTGTGGAAAAGCCACACCCA